AAAAAAAAAAAAAAAAAAAAAAAAAAAAAACATTGTTAAAGTGATGTAAAATATATTCTTTTGAAGGAAAGACCTATATACCAAAGGGTTTAATATTTTGGTAAGACTGCCATAAAGCAAACAGAGCAAAACAGAAACACATAATCATTGAGTGAGCCATCTGCTGATTAAAATAAGAATTCAGTAAACATTCCATTCTTAAACGTCTCTTTCATCACATTTAACTCTTAAACTATATTCCCCTCTGCCACCATCTAGTACATGTAAGCAGCATAATTCAGTGAGTAAGGAGATTTTTGCTACCCCAGGGCCAGAGAATAAATTGTGAGTTCCAAAACACTCTTTACTTATTTTTAAAAATTTTTTAAGTAGGCTCCATGCCCAACATGGAGTTTGAACTTATGCCTCTGAGATTGAGAGTTGTGTGCTTTACCAACTGAGCCAACTGGGTGCCCCCCAAAAACTTTTAAAACAGTATGTACATAGGGGTGCCCAGATAGCTCAGTGGGTTAAGCGTTTGACTCTGGATTTTGGCTGCAGTTATAACCTCACAATTAACGAGTTGAAACCCACATCTGGCTCTTCACTGACACTGTGGAGCCTGCTTGGGATTCTCTTTCTCCCTCTCTGTCTGCCCTTCCCTACTTGTACTCTCTCTCTCTCAAAATAAATAAGAAATAGACATTTACAAAATATATTTTATAAAACAGCTAAAACATAATGAGGACAAAAACACAAGACTATAAAACATGGGAGGGAGAAAGAGTCTAGAGTTGGGGAAGTTGTTCTGTTATGACCCTTCTGGAAAAAAAAAAAGAATTTATACCTCATTCAGACTAAGAATCTGTACCTTTGTCTATTCTATCATTCTATTGATCCATTTGTCAAAAGAAGGGAAGTATAATACTTTTTATACCATGGACATATTTGGGCAAGATTGAAATTTAGCGTCATTGATTTTACACAGATGGTGGTCACCTCATTCACCTGCAGTCACGTGTAGCTCTTTTTCTGCTCTTAGTTTTTATTTGTCTATATGACTTAGAGTTTGTGTCATTCAAGAAAAGGACAAAAGAACGTTATTTGTAGTCATTTTGAATATAGATATTAATGTATGTAAAAGATAAGAGAGGTAAAAATGGGTGAAATATTTTAGTTTGATTGTTCTGGGTACTTTTTGAGAGCTCATAATTTTGAAGAGTAATTAAAATTTTTTTAAGGTTTTTTTTTTGAAAGTGCAAGAGAGCATGCATGTGCAAGTGGGGAGGGGCAGAGACAGAGGGAGACAAAAGCAGAATCCAAAGCAGGCTTCAGGCTCTGAGCTGTCAGCACAGAGTGCGACAGAGGATGCAAATCCAACAACCACGAGATTATGACCCTAGCTGAAGTTGGATGCTTAACGAACTGAGCCACCCAGGTGCCCTTTGAAGAGTAAATGCTATTGAAGTGCAATGAAATCCATAACAAAATGACATATGATAAGCTGAACTATAGACTTTTTGATTCTTAATATTAAGAAAACTAATTGAATCATAACTTTAAACATACAATTTGCCATTTTGGAATGGAACAGTATTTCCATTATATATTTTGTATGTGAAAGCATAAATTATGAGGATACAGTGGAATATTTAATTTTATAACAAGATTACTGTTTAGGATATATTTTAAAGTGTTTAGTGTGCATATAGACTTCTCTCTTTTTCTTTCCCTCTACAAGAATCTCATTGAAAATCTTGTTGATGATCATTCAGTAAGTTGATACTTAAAAGATAATCATTTTTAGTTTACTCGTTCATACATTTCAACAAACTAAGAAGATTTTTATTGAAGTCCACAAATCTGACATAATGTCTTTCATATAAGTATATTAAAAGTCATATTAAAAGTCAGATTAATTTCTGTCTGACTGGATGTATATTTTGCCTGGTTTCTTCTAGTTACTTTCCCTCATAAATTACTAGTCAATGTATTATTTACCAATTCAGGAAGTGGCATGAACATAAATGCATCTCATTTTATTTTCCTGATAATTTGGTATAAGTAAGGTTATACACAGACACATATGCACAAAAACACACATTATGTAGAAGGTATTTAATTTAATATTATATTAAATAAAATATTTTATTAAAAATGGCATTCACATCATCATTTGAACAAAAATCTAATGTTTTTATAAATGCTCTTTAAACCTAATATGTTTTCCACAGACCAAAACACACACACACACACACACACACACACACACAAATGAAACACACACACACACACACATACGCAAACTTTGTCTAAATAAGCAATGAAAAATCAGACAATATTAAGTTGGTTTTACAATATAATCATAGGATAGGTCAGAGATAATGAGACTGTAGTACATTTTTACAACATTAACTAACTTTTAAAGGTAGATCATTATGTCCTAAATTATAAGAAACTTGATATTAAAATTTTAAGTCACCTTAGTATTTTCTAAATGACATGGTTTAATCTCTAGGAATGAAATTAAGGTAAATGTATTGCTATTATCTTATGTAATTCTTCTGTATGTTTTCTTGAAAAAAATCAAATATTTTTAGCCATTTCCTCTTTATATTAGAGGACATCAACATGAAATATGTAGACACATTTAAAAATAGATGCACTTACTCTCAAGCATGCTTTTCTTTCTTTCTATCATGCTTTCGGGGGTCCTTAAAACCTAGTTTTATGTCCTTCTCCTTTATCTTGCACTCTAAACACTCATTCAAACCACTTTCTATACTTATTTGCAAATCACTCGCAATGTGGAGTCTCCATTGACCTGAATACTTACATTCACCTCTCAAACTCAGCATACCTAAGAGCAAGCCATAGATCCCTCATCCATCTCTAACTGCACAAGGTGTACACCCCACCCCACCACACACACACACACACACACACACCAAACTCTTTTCACGTTTTTTTTTAAGTTTATTTTATTATTTATTTTTGAGAGAGAAAGAGCAAGAGAGCAGAAGTGAAAGAGGGGAAAAGAGAGAGAGAGATACAGAATCTGAAGGTATATATATATCTGAAGGTATATATATATATCTGAGAGATACAGATTCAGGCTCTGAAATGTTGAGTCAGAGCCCAACGCAGGTCTCATTCAACCATGAGATCATTACCTGAGCTGAAGTTAGACACTCAACTGACTGATCCACCCAGGTGCCCTTCTTTTCACATGTTTCTAATTTTATTTAAAGACATCAACCTCCATTCAGTTGATCATTCAGTAAAACAAAGAGTCATCTTAAATCACTCTCTCAGTGCCAAATAACAAAATCATT